CTGAGAAAAATGTATGCCGAATCGCGGAAGACAATGTCCCACGATTTGTCAATGATATGCGCGACATTCTCTCCTGCTTTAGGACGCTACGTGCTGAATATTGAAGCGTCTGAATACAAGGTAAAACTGCATTAAGCATGCGATGGTTTTTTTTTCGAAATTTTTTTTTGGTACTCACGTATTTTTGTCTGAAAAACACGAATTTGATAATGAAAATGTGAACAAACCACTATTTATCGAGATATTTCAAAAAAAAGTTCGAAATTTCGACTCCTTTTTCCCTTGCGTTGGATTCATTTTCAGGTACTTGCTCTTCTTATTTTGTCATTGGACACTTTATATACTCATGATGTACTTCAATGACACATTTTTATACAGAAAATTCAACAGGAAATATAATTTTTATGGTGCGTTTTTCCTATTTAGTGAGCAAGCATACCAGATGACGGCCATTTCATCCATAGGCATTAGGCAATCCAAATACGAGATGTCAAATGTCAATAGATTGCTTTGGAATTTGGAATGACATAACACGCCATTATTTCAAATGATATTCTTCCTTTTTTTCAATAAATATGAATGAATCACAAGAAAATCATATTTCTAGTTGACTCAATTATAGATAAAAATGTGTCTTACATTGTGATATATATAAATTGTCCTATGATGAAAAAAGAAGGGTGAATTGTTTTAAATTCAATCCAGAAGACAGGCGGAAAAGAAGGTGAAATATGTAACTTTATAGTGAAATATCTTGATAAATAATGGTTTGTTCACATTTTCATTATCAAATTCGTGTTTTTCAGACAAAAATAAGTAAGTACCAAAAAAAATTTTCGAAAAGAAGCCCATCGCATGCTAAATGCAGTTTTACCAAGATCCAGACGCTTCAATATTCAGCACATAGCGTCCTAAAGCAGGAGAGAATGTCGCGCGTATCATTGCCAAATCGTAGGACATTATCTTCCGCGATTCGGCATACATTTTTCTCAGGTTGCGTCGTACCATAGGAGACAATGCCAATACGCTTCCCGGACCAGGCCTGAAATCCTGAAACATGCTACTTTCTCAAAGAAAAAGCGTCCGGGAAGTATGAACACGTCCCGGACGGTTGCTGAAATAATCTATTTCTTTGTTGCGTGGCTGAGAACTCTATTGTTTCTCATTGGAATGTACTGAAAAGTTAAGCAATAATGACACTATCTTGAAGTTGATGCTCAAAAGTAAATCAACCAATTTATTATCACATTTTCAGTGTAGAGCCGAGAGCGAAAACTCTCTGTTTTTGCTGTTGTTAAAACGACAAAAACTAGTGATTTATATTTATAGTTATTGCGAAGCTTTAATGTCTTTTGAGTCATGCAATTGTCTCGCGATGGCTGGAATTGTTGAACTTTGTCAGGAATTTTACACACAGAGCAATATGGTTCACATCAATAAGAATCTCTCCATTCTATTCTTTGATGGACACTATTGATGTCAGAAACATCCCTCTAGTCCTTTAGGTCTAGGAGATTAAATGTTGGGGAGACGATTTTGTGTTTGTATTATGCTACTATTTTACTCCACTTAGTAAGTTCGCCTCCTCAGAAGGTGCTCGCCCTAGACTCTAGTGGATTTTCTGGACTGAAAACCTACTGCAGCTAACAGAGAAGCAACACACAATTGATGAATCGGACAATAAGAGGAATATCTTCGAATATTCGAATCTTGACTAGATGAAACTATGATTTGAAGATGAAGGTAACGTTAGTGGTAAGTTAGATTGACCATGGAGTTCGTCTCCTTCTCTTCTTCTCGTATTTCTGAGTACTCTAGGCATTACGCTGTTGCCAGTGCCACACATTCGGGTTTAAATAAATTCTCGATCATTATTAGGAATACTAGGATATTTTTATTGGTACTGAAGAATCTTGCAAGTATATAGGTATTCAATAAGTGATTATCGAACTATTGTCTTCTGTGAATATGAATTGTGTTGTCATTGGTCAAATTGAATCTCATAAGGTTATTACCAGTTACAAATCTGGCAGCGTCGAGAAATATGTGATCTTACTATCTATGCGAGAGCCAGAATTCAGATAACGATGACTTTCGGTTCGGTTCATGACGTAAGCAAAAAATTGCAATTCGTCTCGTGCGTGATGCCTCGCTCATAAACTCACTTCTCTGGAACACCATAAAAAAAGTTGTCGAATCTGGCTCTATTTCATAGATATTTTCATGGACGATGCTCTTCTGAAATATCAACAATTGTTCCTCCCTTGGCAGTCCCCGCGAGATTAACCCGTCGAGTTGAGGTTTCGCACCCCTTCGTGGTCATATTGGAGACCTGCAGAACATCTCCTTCCAAAGACTCGTTCATCCAACGAACAGCGAGGCTCTGGAACACATTGCCAAGGGAGGTGTTCTCCGAGGCATATAACCTCCAGAAATTTAAGGAGAACACCAATTCCTACCTTATTATCCCTGGTTCTCACAATTTTCTCTGAACATTACAGGATATCCCTTTTCGTAGGAACCAGAACATTAAAAAAAACACGAAATGATCAATATGAAATAGGTTTGAGGCGTAAATTCGACTAGCGTGTACAACCCCATTCTTGAATTTGCCTCATTCCAGGTCAGTAGGTCAGAAAGTTGACAAAATTAATAATGCTATAGTATTAATAAAGCAGCTTCAGGATGAATAAAGATAATCTTTGAATCTTTGGAAATATTATGATTTCTGAGAACATAATCTAGTTGATATTGTACCAATTTCTCAAAAACTTATGGTATATAGTCTGAAGGGATGTACTCATCAACTTTTCAGTTGCAGAAGCAGAGTTCACAAAGAGTGGCGGAGGAGCATATAAAGATCATCATGAAGACATTTCATAGAACGTTCATTTCAAATGCAATCGAAGTGAAATATTAACGCATATCATTCATGTCAGAGTAAATAATGCTATCAGATGAAACCATCTTGATCGCCCGATCAATAATCAATAGGTTCTCAGTCTGATGGTGATCTTGTCATTAGCAATAGATCAAACGGATCGACCGTCTCATGAAATGGGAAATGAGTGATGGCATTGTTCTCAGAACCAAAAGGAATTTGTCTTGAGGCAAACACGTAAATGATACTACCGATGAAATACCTATTGGGTGTATACAGGGTGTTCAGCCAAGAGTGTCATTTCAGTGTTTAGAGGTACTAGTGTGAGAATTAATGTCTGCTCACTGGTAATAGTAGGTAGGTACCTATATTATGTTACAAGAGTTATATTCCCTGAAACTGTTGGATTCTGTCCAAAAAAGGGCAATTCGTCTCGTGGGTGATGCCTCGCTCACAAACTCACTCACTTCTCTGGACCACCGTAGAAAAGTTGGCGATCTGGCTCTATTTTATAGATATTTCCATGGACGATACCCTTCTGAAATATCAACATTTTTTTCTCCCTTGGCAGTCCCCGCGAGATTAACCCGTCGAGTTGAGGCTTCGCACCCCTTCGTGGTCACTTTGGAGATCTGCAGAACATCTCTTTCCAAAGACCCGTTCATCTAACGAACAGCAATGCTCTGGAACACATTGCCAAGGGAGGTGTTCCCCGAGGCATATAACCTCCCGAAATTCAAGAAGAACACCAATTTCTACTTTATTTCTCTTGGTTCTCACGATGTTCTCTGAACATTACAGGATATCCCTTTTCGTGGGAACCAGAACAAAATGGCAAGTTCAAATTAGTTGTAATGATTGTGATAAAACTTATATAGGCCAAACCAGGCGACCAATAAAAACAAGGTTCAAAGAACACATAGCACATTTGAAATATGGCAGGTTAGATAAATCGTGTGTAGCCGAACATATGTTCAATCACAATCATATAACACATATTACTAACCTCAAATTATTTAGGCAAGTTAATAATATTAGAAAATTAGACGCATATGAAAGCTCAGAGACATTTAAGGATAGTAATAGAGTGATGAATAAGGATAATGGACCTATTCCATATAGCCCTCTATATAGTTCAGTAATATAAAAATTAAGATTAACATGTGAACTCAACCATGACAAACATTAACTTGACGGTTATATTTTTCACGGTTGGGTGAACATAATTATACCTAGTATATAAGCAGCACACTAGAATAGGATATTTAGTTTTAAGCTTCTCCTGAAGATGCTAACATAGTTACCGAAACACGTGTGTGGGGGCGTTTAAAAAATCGATTTGGTTAAATTAATGTCGTTCATTCATTCAGTTGAACATTGTCATAAGCATTCAAATTCGGTTTTCCAAATTGATAGTAATCACCACAACCATACAACTAGACAAGCAGATCATTTTTCTGTCAAGAAAATTAAATGAGATATTGGTAAAAATACATCTATCACAATGGAATGATACAATACAATTCACTACCAAATAACTTGAAGCTGATTAATAGGATTGAAAAATTTAACAAAGAATTCAAGAAACATCTACTCCTGTAATATTGACATCTTATCTCATTTTTATAGTTTTCTGGTACAACTACCATAGTTTTCTATTGTTCAGTTGAACTTGAAAAAAAAATTATTCTTTTGAGTGTGAGACTTATTTTATTTTGTCAAATATATTTATGTATTCACCATGTTCCCTGCAATAAACAAATGTTGTTTCTTGGGAATAGCAAAGTTGATTGATTGATTGATTATCGTGTGTGTTCTATATAGATATAATTAAATTTTCGTCGTGTCATATAGCCAGGATAGTAGTTGTTTCCTGTTGAATATACCAAGAAAGCATTAATATTACCATCACATAGAGAATGCGAATTCTCGATGTATTTATATATATATATATTTATTTTTTCATGTTCATAATATATATCTGAGTATATTCCTTTTCAATATGGTTGATCATATTTTACAGAAACAATAATTTCAAATTGGGAACCTTTCCAAATGCATCATGAATAGATTAAATCGTCGAAAGTCGACACCAAACCCGCTACACCCAACGACCCACCGAACCTCGTAAATATCCATTTCCGTTTCGGGTTTCGCCTCATCTCTCCCAATCCCGTCCGATAACTTCTCGGCCGGTCGCGGCCACGTGCAAATCCGGGGCGGGCCTGCGGGCGAGGCGCGGCGGGGCGGGACGGGTGGCCCGCGGCGGCCCGACCGGTCTGGCGCCGAGCGGGCGACTGCCCCAGGCCTGCTGCGACCCGGTTGCCCTCGCTCCAAGCACAGAATAACCGGCGAACCGAGAGACACATCCCTTCACAAGAAATCACTATTTAAACTGCAGGGGGATTCTGTTTCACGATCGTCGATTGTCGTACGATACGATGATGAACTCGAAGTCGAATTCACTTCCTATTCTATTTCTCGATCAAGTCGCGATCGAATTCGACGTCGGAAATCGTCGGTTTTTTGGCGAAATGGGATGAGATTTTAATTCAACGAAACGAGCACCAAGACCATAGCACGAAAGCCATCACAAATTTGAGGTTATGGTGGTTATATTGTTTTTATGAATTCCAATTTTTGTAATCCCGAGATGGTTTTGCAGCAGCGTAAGATAAGGATAGAAATTTGAAACAAATTCGTCGTTCGACAAGAACTATGAAACAGAAGTAGGTACCCACCTAATCCTTCTTCATTACTTGAAAAATGATTTATTGAGCTATTTAGATTGAACAAAAGGTTGGTTCGTCTCCTGATACAATCATTGAGACCCCACTTATTAGTGGATAGGTCAAAGTATGAAGGGAATAGGTCAGGAATCGGTATACAGAATCTCAAATATTCTGTGCACTGATGTTTTATGCTACTATATTACGCCATTTCTCAGGAGTTTACTCGTCAAACCCACTGAACTATAACCCTACAAATGGAATGCTGAATGCTGATACAGCTACCGAGATCAGGACTTCAAGGTTGTGCGCCGACGCAGTAGAACCAAGATATGAAAAGAATGTCCGTGATTATCGAAATTGCTTACAACCGTTGACGTATGTCGTTGATTAGGTGTGCTCCCATCAGGAGAGGCTTAGATATTTTAGTGCCCATCATATGCCATGCCTTTATTATTGTTCGATTTCATATGGTTTTTATTTCCATTTCTTCATTGTTCATGATCGTCTTTGTGTCCTGGTATTTGGATGATATTTTGTTCGTTTATATTTTTGAGCTGTGACCGTGATTTTGAAGACTATTATTTAGACAATATGGGTCAGGGATGCATGATGTTCTTTGTGCCGAAATGAAGAGAAAGAAAACAAGTATTCGCCTATTATCACTTTTAGAAAATCATAAACTCAGGTTTATAAAACCTATAGTAGAGATATACTTGAAAATAAAGTTGTATCACCTTGAAAGACAACAAACTGAGTTCATGAGAAGGGTTGAAAATTCGACAAAAAATGAACAAATTGGTGTTATTTTCCCACCAATAATCAATAACTATTAAGACAGAGTTTCAAAAAAATTGACATTCTCTCTTCTCTAGATTTTTAGCTCGGCAATCGAGTCGAGTTTACACGATTCATTCGAGAAACAGAATACCAAATATCGAACAAAGATGGCCGTTTCGACTCGATTCGTGAAATAGAATCTCCCTGCTGGTCAACATTGATAACGTCGTGGTCCAAAATATACCCTGAATTCAAAGTAGAATAACTCACGAATTTCCTTACCAATTCGAAATCGGTTTTCACTTATGATTAGCCTCATCCCTTGACAGTTTGTTGTGGCAATATGAAACTTCTGTAATTTCAGATAACATTGCTACAGAGTACAGGATGATAATTGAATGGGTGTAAAATTGCATCGTGGTCGTCACCTTACCGTTTGAACAGATAATTTGTGGGGACAATGTGGACATATTTTTTATCGCACCTTGTATATGAAAAATGTAGTTTATTATGACGAGACTCACCACATACATACACACACACTCAATTTTTGTAATGTTCTCAGCAACTTCACTTAGCTTCCTAGGAGCTAAGCTTAAGTAACATGCATTGATATAGAAAATTGCAAATATCTCGAAAACGATCACCTCCAGCGTTGCTGAGGACGTGTACCTTCTTACTTGGAAAAGGTGTGAAAATGAGGTGAAAATGAGGTTTCTTGATGAGAAGTACTGAGAGTTTACTGTCAAAAATTTTGGGGCAATTTGAAGTAAATAATGAAAGCGTACGCAGCGCCCTATAAATGTTACATAGAAATCAATACGAAATTATGATTTTCCACATCAAAAAACCTCCGGTACCAAATTTTGTGCGAATAACTTATTTTTTGCCATTTCAATAAAGCAAACAAAAAATTCAAGTTCGACACCCTGTATCTCTGAAACGCAGCATTTCCGGACACAAACTTATAGAGACTTGTTTTCTTAAAATCGTCTCAGGAATACGTCACTCGAATATTTCAATGTACTTATGTTACACCCTGTATAATACTACATGATTGTACAATATCTCTCATCTGGTTGTCTTATCTCCATTTCAAGATTGCTCACATTCATGAATTGTTTCTAACATTAATAAACATTTTTTGACAATTTCTCTGACATATGCCATGTCTTGTATGTCATGTCAAATGTCAACTTTGCTTTCATTAGTCCAGTTTCATTATTCCAGTTTCTTCTTTGATTTGTCCAGTTCATCTACATCACGACAGAAAGCTGCAGAAATAATGGCTGTTTGAGAAAATGCAAAATGTAATCAGCATATTATCCCATTTTGGGAAACAAATTTTAATCTGTTTGTACCGTAATTAGCCATAATGTTAATATCACTCAACTGGACCAAAGATATATTTTTATGGATGGTTTTCTTGTCAATCTGACGAGTAAATTACCTCACTTTTACTTATTTCTAAATTCACATTTTTTAACAATTTCAATAGCTAAAAGTTGTTCAACTTTCACTAATTTTCTAATTTAGATTTGACTTTCTTCAAAAATGTCAAAAAACATTCTTTTTCAATTTTCCATGAGGTCTTTTTCAATAGCCAAAGCTAAGTAACCATCACTCAATACCTCAATATCTGTTATGCACTAGCGGGCCGTAAAGTGCACTTCACCGCCCGGTTTTGCGGGCGTTAAGTCGCACTTTACCGCCCGCGGGCTCATTATGGCCCACGGACCGTAAAGTGCACTTTACCGCCCGCTGTTCTCGGTCACCTTATATCCACATATCAATTCATGAGAAACCTATGATCACATTCCTAGATTCTAATATATCCAGCGGTATATCATAAACTTCTTCTTTATCCGATTCCATAGTCTCGCTATTATTATTATCACTAATTTTACTTTTCAGTCAAAGAATGACAATTCAGCTCGTTTATTAGATGTATTGCTATTGACAACAACCATCAGATTGATTGACAACGTCAAAATTAAATAAGTTAGGATTATATACTGGGTATGCATATTGTAAAACTCTGAAGAATGAATCTCTTCTAGAGCTGAAAGAGTTTTACTATTACGATAATTGCAATATTCGTACGATAATCTTCATATGTAAATCATCCATGAACATCACGCTTCTCTTGATTACTGAATTAATACGTAACAAATTAAATTCTGGGGAATATTAGTTTGTCGAAATCTATAGTCATTACTTATGAGTCAGAAAATAAACCACTAGTGCATAAAATTTTGTATGTATCTCGTGCGTGAAATGCGTTTATGGCCTTCAGCGTGTAATGGCCCTCGGTTAGCGCCATCGGGCCATTATTCACGCCACAGGCCATAAACGCCTACTTTACGCCCTTGATACATAAATAACTATTATGCTACCTTCTTGTGCTCGACTTATTTGCAGTAATTATTGCATTTTGGCCGTTTAGGGTACCATCTCAGAATGAAAGTTACCTTTCCAATTGTAGGATATTTTGTGCATCAACATATCAGAGGCTTTCGAACGCGGCCGGTGTGCGATGCGATCATTTATCGCCTCCGGTAGATTTTTGAAACCGAGGGTTACAGGAAAAACCTGAATACGAAATACGAATTCGTAATAATGGATCTTCTTGCTGAACGCGTGTTCGAATTGCATACGAAATGGTCAAGATTTCTCAAGAATACCAAAAATTTCTTCACTTTTTGAGAAATAAAAATTGAGCATCATCAGTCATGATCACTTTCACTTCCAGTCAGCTGCTTATGATCAATAAGGCACAGATCCGACCTGTCCTGGAATACTGTTTCCATATTTGGAGTGCAGCACCCAAACATACCCTGAAACTGTTGGATTCTGTCCAACAAAGGGCAATTCGTCTCGTGGGTGATGCCTCGCTCACAAACTCACTCACTACTCTGGAACACCGTAGAAAAAATTGCGATCTGGCTCTATTTTAAGGATATTTTCATGGACGATGTTCTTCTGAAATATCAACAATTGTTCCTCCCTTGGCAGTTCCCGCGAGATCAACCCGTCGAGTTGAGGCACTCCTTTGTGGTCACTTTGGAGACCTGCAGAACATATCTTTCCAAAGATTCGTTCATCCAACGAACAGCGAGGCTTTGGAACACATTGCCAAGGGAGGTGTTCCACGAGGCATATAACCTCCAGAAATTCAAGAAGAACACCAGTTCCTACTTTATTTTCCTTGGTTCTCACGATGTACTCTGAACATTACAGGATATCTCTTTTCGTGGGAACCAGAACATAAAAAAAATGATCGGTTGGGGAGACAAGGCGAATGATGGACTAACCCCCTAATAGTGGACAAGGGACTGGCATATTTCGAAAACCATCAGGCCAGAAAAAGTAGTATCCCCTATGTTTATTGAAGTTGATGTATGAATAATTAGAAAACCAGGAAAATTTGATATAGCATATTTGATATAGCATATTCCAATATTCTAATTGATTTTTTTCAAAATTTTTTTCTCAATATTTTCCTCATGAGGGTAAATGACAGTTCGTGCATGGTGATTTTTTTTTGTCAATTGTGAACATATACAATTATATTGATTCATCCAAATGAATCATGAATCTTCTCGTCTAAAAAAGGTATGGAATGGAATAATTCTCAGATAAATCATAAACATGAAGAAATGGATATATGTATATACAAGGTGTTTTTGAAATAAGGCCACATACATATTCAGCACCGATTATTGATATGGAGCGGTATAGAAGAAAATAAGAGACCCCAATTAAGCGTATATAGGATGGATATATTGCATAAAAGCATCAAAGAAAACTTGTGCAATTGGGATGCAA